ATATATTTTGATAAAAGTTTGTTCATATATTACACACATGATGTAATTGAGCGGTATTGATAAATAATATTAATCTATCAAATATTTGATAGATGTCTTGTGTACGACAAACTCACATTACCAAAGGAAAAAAAGTCAAAATAATAATAATAAAAAAGCAATTTTCAAAAGAACAAAAAACACTTTCAAGTTTTTTCCCTTGTTCTTTCCTGATTCTTTATCTTCTTCAAAGTTTCAGATTTTCTCCACCTCAATGCTAGTTTCCCTTCAATTGTGGAGGCTTCCTTTTTTCTCCTTTCATCACTAATAAGATCTACAAAGGCAGGCTCAACTTTCTTTTTCTTCCAATTTTTTTCTTTTCTCGATTTAGCTCCTCCATTTTAGTTTATATTTTCTCTCTGTAACTGTAACTCTTGACCCACTAATGTGTTACTTGATCCATTTTTTGTCACTTTTTCTCCTTTCCTTCTAACAATTCTATTCACAATCTAAGTTATACTTTTAATCTATTTATTTACTTCACTCTTTACCTAAGCATAAGGAAACTAGAAATTTGATGAGTTGAAATTTTTATTATGAGTTGTAATTTGAAATGGTTTGATGATAATGCAAAATTATGAGATATAGTTTTGGGTTTTTTCATATTGTGAGTATTATAATTTTTGTGGGTTTATGGTTTTTTTTTTAAATTTAAATTAGTAGTGAGCAATTGAAAATTTGATGTTGTACAAATTGAAGATTGTGGAATGTGGTTGTGGACTTGCAACTCATGAGCCCTAAGCTTTTTGAAACTCCAACAAATAAGATAGAAAAGAAGAGAATTGAAATAAAATAGGTTTAAAAAAAAAATTCAAGAGCATTTTCATTTATCATGCGGGAAATTTAATTTCAAATCATAATTATCTATAATAATTTTTAAATTTAAAAGTGCATAACGTTCATGACATAATTTTTATTAAAAAAAATTTTTAATTGTTACAAATCAATAATATTTAATTTTTATCTATATAAATTAAAATAATTAATTTTAAATTAAATAATCACATAAACATTTAATATCAAACTGAACATTTAATCAAATTTTTTTTTAGCCAATAACCTAAGTAATTCTTTTATTAGTGTAAAAGAAAAACGAAAAGCAAAATCAAGCACCGGAAATTAGTGGTAACAAAAGACAGTGAAAAAATGACTGGAAAAGCGTGAGAATGAGAGCCCAATGACGCGTTCTCTCCAAAAATAAATAAGCATATCGAACGGCCCACAGTCACTCTCTTTCCCTTCTTATACTCATTTCCTTTCCTTTCCTCTCCTACTCTCTCTCAAAACATTCCCTCACCTTCTCTTTCTCTCTATAACCCTTGCATTCTCCCCATCAAACTTACTCTCGTTTTCCCAAAGGTCATTTTCTTTTCTTCATTTACCCTTAGATTAGATCTGCTGCTCTTTTCTCGTTTTCCTTTTAACTGTTTTGCTGTTTTCTTTTCCGGGTTGTTCTTATTTTTGTTTTTCTGTGGTTTTGATTTGTTTATGAATTGGGTTTTTCTCTGTTTTGATCTAAAGACAGGAAAAGATTACCATTTCCTGGCAAGGGTTTCGTTTTGTTTTTATGTTTGCTTTGATCTGTTTTCTTCTTTTGCTGCTTCTCATTTGATTTATTTATTTTTGGACAGGTTTGTTTTGTTGCTGTTTTAGATTTTAGATTCTTGATGGGATCTAACCATGAATGAATTTTGATTGTAGACCAAAAAAGGATGATAAATAGAAAAAGGGGGGAAGATTGGATATTTAGAAATCGTGGGAAATTAAATTAGGGAAAGATTTGACTTTTAGTGTGGTTTTATTCAATATAAATCTGCTGCTTTCAATAATAGGTGTTTGGTTTGATAGAGGGATTGGTGGAATTTAAGGGAAAATCTAAGCTTTTTTAATTAGTTTTGCTTTCTAAATGGTTTGTTCCAAAAGGTAACATTTTTTATTAATATATAGCAGGTTGTAGAAGATGGCAGAAGGTGAGGATATTCAGCCACTTGTTTGTGACAATGGAACAGGAATGGTTAAGGTAAATCGCTAAAAGCTTTTTTATCTTTGAGTGAAATTGTGTTTTTTTTTTTTTTTTTTTGACTTACTGTTATGTCATGTTAAGGTTAACGTTTCTGCCTTTTATCTGATTTAAGTTGAATATAAAATGTTATGTTTAGGCTGGATTTGCTGGGGATGATGCTCCACGAGCTGTGTTTCCTAGCATCGTGGGTCGGCCACGTCACACTGGTGTGATGGTTGGCATGGGCCAGAAAGATGCATATGTTGGTGATGAAGCTCAATCTAAGAGAGGTATTTTGACCTTGAAGTACCCTATTGAGCATGGTATTGTGAGCAATTGGGATGATATGGAAAAGATCTGGCATCATACCTTTTATAATGAGCTTCGTGTTGCCCCAGAAGAGCACCCAGTTCTCCTTACTGAGGCTCCTCTCAACCCTAAAGCTAATCGTGAGAAGATGACCCAAATTATGTTCGAGACATTCAACACTCCTGCTATGTATGTCGCTATTCAGGCTGTGCTCTCTCTGTATGCCAGTGGTCGTACAACCGGTAAGCATCATATGGTAAATAAATAATCGATCCTTTGAGTTTTAAGTTAGTTTTTTTTTTATTATTTTAATTCTCCGTAACTGAAACTGATATGTAAAGTTCCCAAATATCTTAAGATGTGTCTGCTGAGTGTTTCAATATAGCCTGAGTTATAGAAACTGAACTGCTGGCTGGGTAACAGTATGAGTTTGGTTCTCATAATTACATGCTATGAGCACTTATCATAATTAAGATGTGTCTGCTGAGTGTTTCAATATAGTCTGAGTTATAGAAACTGAACTGTTGGCTGGGTAATGGTATGAGTGTGGTTCTCATAATTACATGCTATGAGCACTTAACAAAATTTTTTGGATTTGATTCTGCTTGGAGGCTGGTTAAATCTTTGAATTGTTACAGTTGGAGTTGAATTGAATTTAATATGTGGAACACATTTTTCCCGTAAAAGAGACAAGGGATGTAACTATATGTGCTTTTTTATGTAGGTATTGTGTTGGACTCTGGAGATGGTGTCAGCCACACAGTCCCCATTTATGAGGGTTATGCTCTCCCTCATGCCATTCTTCGTCTTGACTTGGCTGGCCGTGACCTCACTGATAACTTAATGAAAATTCTGACTGAGCGTGGATATTCCTTCACCACCACAGCCGAGCGGGAAATTGTGAGGGACATGAAGGAAAAGCTGGCATACATTGCTCTTGACTACGAACAGGAACTGGAGACCTCCAAAACAAGCTCAGCTGTAGAGAAGAGCTATGAGTTACCTGATGGTCAGGTTATTACCATTGGAGCTGAGCGTTTCAGATGCCCTGAAGTGCTTTTCCAGCCATCTATGATTGGTATGGAAGCTGCAGGCATCCACGAGACGACATACAACTCCATAATGAAGTGTGATGTGGATATTAGGAAAGACTTGTACGGTAACATTGTCCTCAGTGGTGGTTCAACCATGTTCCCTGGTATTGCTGACAGAATGAGCAAGGAGATCTCTGCACTAGCTCCCAGCAGCATGAAGATCAAGGTTGTTGCTCCACCTGAGAGGAAGTACAGTGTCTGGATTGGAGGCTCAATCTTGGCTTCCCTAAGCACCTTCCAACAAGTAAGTTAATTTACTTTTGATGGATATATAGTTGTCTAGTTGCTTGTTCAATCAATGTCTTACATTAATTAACTTGCTTCCTATTTTGTTCCAGATGTGGATCGCCAAGGCAGAGTACGATGAGTCAGGCCCATCAATTGTCCACAGGAAATGCTTCTAAATGTTTTGATGTGAGAGTAGGGTCAAGGAGAGAAAGTACTGTTTCACCATTTCTTGGTGCAGCTTGCAACTTTGCTTTGTTCTTCTAGCTTTGTTATCCATCTATGTTTATTCTCTTGTTGGAGTGAACGATGAAGTTTGAGAGAGGATGGGTTTAATTGTGGTTCAATTCTTTTAATTACTGTTTAATGTCGAGAAGTTTTTGACTATTTATTTCTGGTTTTTGTTGCAACCTACCTGCTAGCCATTACCATTATTTATGTTGAACCAATTTGCATGGAATAATCAGTCACTTCCCTTAACCTTAAATTGATAAATCAAGCTAGACTTGACTTATGAACGATGATAGTGGATACCCCTATTTCCTTTCATTCTATTGCTGGGTTTGATGGCTCGTTTAATCCTTATTTGGTTAAGATTGGATGGTTTTAAAGAACTGAACTGTCTTTTTCTTTTCATCCCAAGCTTCATTGCAGAAAATGCAATTCACAAGACTTCAGGCGATTCTGATTGAAAGAAAACAACCTCTCTACTTGGTAAAGCCTAGATGTTAGAAAATATCTTCATCAAAATTCTTAATTGAAAAGCGGGACAATTTTATAAGCAATCTCTATATTGTTTTGAGAATTGTGACCCTAAAAAGAAGTGGGAAAGTTCAAAGACATTTATGTCCAAAGAACAGTAAATTCTGATATTGAAAGCCTTGTTTTCTTAATCACTGAAGCTATACTTTTCATGCGACTTGGACAGACTTTATTTTGAATTAAAGTAACTAGGAATTCCCAATTGTAAAAGGAAAATCATGGTTGACTTTTCTAATCCCCTCACCTTGGACAGACTTTATTTTGAATTAAAGTAACTAGGAATTCCCAAATGCAAAAGGTAAATCATGGTTGACTTTTCTAATCCCCTCACCTATTTCCTAGTAAAAATTAGCTGATCTAATAACCACTGAAAGTGAAAAACCATTTGACATAAGCTAATGTCACCAGGTTGGATAGCCTTTTGGAATTAATTTTAATCAAATCAGCCTTCATATTTTTCTTTTTTTTTTTTGACCAATATTAGATTATGAGCATTTCATCCACTTTACAATATAGAATATGATTAGAATAGCTTTGAGTTTATGCGAAAAAAATGCCAAGATTGGCCAAGTCTAAAATTATGCCAAAATGTCACGTTATTCATACCTCTGGTTCAATCCAAAATTTTCAAATAAAACATCCATGTTGGATTTGGCAAATAATTATAGTAAAACAAACATAATTATAGTAAGCCCTAAACCAATTAAACTATCATTGTTGTATTACATACAAGTGTTAAAAGACTCAATGCATCATGCAAATGTGGAAAATGCAACTTAAAGATCGTTCAAGGGGTTATGCCCAGACATGATATCATAAAACATGAATGCAGAGTCTTCCCTGAACAAACTGTAGTCTTCAGATCCTGTTTTCACATAACTGCAGAAAGCAAATATTGTGCCGTCTCTTGCTGATCATCCTCACAGAATGGATGTCCCCTATCGATGTTATCACCATTGATTTCTAGCTTTCTTGGAACTAACTTGTTCTGATTGTAATTGTCTTCTTCTGTTATTCTGATCCCTTTCTTTGATGGGAAGTTCTCTTTGAATTCCAAGAAATAGTCTTCCTCATGGTTTTGATGATCATAGTGTTGAGAATTCAATCTTCCATTGTTGCTAAACGAGTTGAAAACTTTATCACTTGAAGAGGAAAACTGGCTGAAGCTCCCAAAACCTTTGATCCCTATTGTTAGTTTTCGAGCTCTTGCTCTTTCTTCTTTGAGAAATGATTCATTTTCAAGCAACATCAAGATTTTCTCTGATAATTTTCTAACACTCAAGCCCCAGTTGAACCTGCATTTGTAATAAAATCAACAAGTATTTAACCACTAAAATATTGATGCAAAAACTGATAATGAAGTTACCAAATTACTAATCTTTTCTCATCAATATATTGAAAATTTTCCATTTCTATGATCGAATCTTTATCATTTTGAAACTCCTCAGCAACCCTTAATGGACCATGAGTTAACAAATGTTCCAATAAAACTAAAGCATTGTAGAAGGCACGCCAATTGTTTGTATCAAACTTTGCCAGTCTGAAACAGATTGAAGGCAAAAAAAAAAAAGAAGAGAATTTTACAATCAAAATCCTGTTTTGTGAACATAAAACCAAGAAATTAATTAACCTCTTGTGTAAAATATCAACAATTCTCCAATAATCATCAACTTCAAAGGCAGCCCTTGATATTGCAGCCATGCTACTTGGATTTGGTGGTAGCATATTTCCGTTTGTGGCTTCTTCTGTTAATCTCCGAAACACCATCCCACAAAAAAAAAAAAAATCTTTGGATCAAACAAAATTGAAATGAAATAATAATTTAGAAAAAAAAAGTAGCTTACAATTCTATCGGTGTAACATCTGTTAAAGGCATTCTTGCTGTCTTAATCTTTTCTTTAAAGAGAAAAAAAAAGCTTGCCTTTTGAATTCATGGAAAACAAGACTACCCATTTTTGTAAATTTGTTGTTTAGGAAATTGGAAATGAAGGATTAAACAAACATGCAAATAAGGATAAATGTGAAAGAAATTCTTGATGAAGTTTCCTTTCCTCTATTCTTAGCTGAAGCGTATAAAGAGTGTAACAACTCCGTTACCGCAAAAAAAAAAAAAAATAGTCACCAACTACTCGTTGCATATCTAATGAGGGAAAGCAAATATATATATATATATATATATAATCATTGTAAACATCTAATTTTGTCCCAAATAATTCAATTTTGATTCACTTTTACATTTGATTTCTATATTTGAATTTATACCGATTTGAATGCTTATTGAAGCCCACAAAGGTTTTGTTTTAGATCTATTTTTTAGGATCGTTATTTTGAGATAATGTCCCATTTAGCCCCTGAATTATTGTAGTTTGTTGGATTTGGTACTTAATTTAAAAAAGTCGCTAAATAGGTACTTAAACTTTCAAATTCTGTATCAATTTAGTTCAAAAGTTAACTCCATTAGAAGAGTTATTGACAATAAAAAGCCACTATCTAGACACAAAAATGACATTTCAACTTAAGTTGCTACTTACATGTTATGCTTATATGGCCATATATTCTGAAAAAAAAATTAAATCAGTAAAAAAATTTAATTTTCCCTTAAACCATACACCCCAAATTCAATTCCATGATACCATCCACCCCAAATTGGAAGAATTCTAAAATTTTAGCAAAATCAAAGCTTGTGAATTCAAAGCTAAAAGCTTGTGAAATCGAAGCTGGTACCTTATAAATCGAAGCTAGTACCTTCATAAAATCAACAACAAACAAGCCAATTGATCATCACCATCTATTATCACAACCCCATTTCACGCACAAAAATCACCTCTGCCAAGACCTTTTCTCCACAACCGAATCAACCCAACAACTCAAAGACTGAAACCTATACTTTCCACCATCGCATATAAACCTAAATAGCCATTAACCATCGAGACCGTGAGTCTTGTTCAGAGTCAATGCTCAAACCTCTCTCTTTCAACACCCCATCCAGACTTGTAAAAAAAATTACATAAAAAAAAAAACCACATTCCTAAAAGGGGAACCACAAAACAAAAGTTGAACCAACAAAAATTTTAACATTGAAATTGAGATTTAGGTTTGGGCGTTGGAATGGTTTTTAGGCTAGATCTTTGGAAGGTAGAGAGCTTTGAGGAGAGAACAACATAGTAAAAGATGGGGGCCATTGGAGAAGTAAGAATCGACGAAAAGAAAATTTTGGCTGAATTTTTTAGGTTAGAACTAGGCTTCTAAAGGTTAGCTCTGAAAAAGAATAAGACCAAAACGTTAAAGAGGAGGTTGAAACAAATCGATGGGTGAAATCTGGGCTTAAATTTGCATTGGCATTGGTGGCCTTCAACGGTGGATAGAGGCTGACATGGTGGCGAACCACTAGTTTCTAGGTTTGAGAATGATAGGTGTTCTTAGGGGTTGAGAGTCTTTGAATTTTTTTTAAAGAAAATGTTTTAAATGAATTGAAAAAAATTTTGTATTTTATAGATTTTTTTTGAATTTTTTAGATTTTTTTACAAAATTTCTTTTAATGCTGACATGGCATTGATGATGCTACACTGATTGGATTTTTTTTATATGAGTCAACATTTTATTGGGTGTTCATATCACGTTAGCATTTAAGGTTAACGGTATTAATGGTTAAGGCAAATTAACACACAAAAATGTAATTTAGGTACCAAATTAGAAAAAAAATTTTGTGTACCAAATCCAATAATCTACAACAGTTCAAGGGTTAAATGGAACATTATCTTTTTTTTTTAGATCAAAAGGGACCATTCTATGTAGATCAAAGGTTAATGTTGGGCCATTTTACAGCTTAAGGCCCAATTATAAATCCAAAACCCAAAGAAGGGTTCAAATTCTTTTACGCCCAAAGCATTTTTAAGATTAATTAGTTAGGAAATTCAAAACAAAATAAAATACAAAATAAAAGAAGAAAGTTGTTTGCCTTGGTTGAGTGTGGTAGCAACTTTCTCCTCCTTTTAGACACCTATTCTAGATTGTTGCATTTCATATAAATGTGACTCATGACTCATGTACTAGGACATTACATTTCATGTGCATAGGTATAATTACCATCACACTCACGTTGTAGATACACTTCATTTCATGTAAATATATCTTTTTTCTTTCGTATTTTATATGTGGATAAATAATATGATTCTTGTCAAACTTGAATGGTGCATGCATTACATTTCAAGGAAGCATGCATCATCATTAACACATTCACAATTTCATCATAGAAATATAATGTCATTCACACATTTATTTAATTGTCCTCTTATGACATCCCATCATTTGATGAATAAAGAGTGCTCCATGGATAAAAAAAAAAAAAGTCCTAAAGTTCTTGCAAGGGAAGATCATGTTCATGAAAATTTAATAGTGCCCAAGTCGTCTTCCAACCAGTTTACTACCTTTTCGTTTGAGTTTGGCAAGAACTTTAAGAAGTTGAATATGGAAGAGGATTAAAAACATCGAACTGAATAGGTCCAAGATGAAAAACAACATTGTGGACATGAAAGGCATAATCTTGATCACAAACAATCTTTAGCCTTCCTAGTGTTGTACACAATTTTGTTTTGAAAAATCTTAAAGCAGACTGTTGTTCGTTAAAAAAGGAATGGTTTTTAATTTTTGGACTTTGTAAATGATAACATGTTGATTGGTTAGATTGGATTTGTAAATATTATATATATATATATATATTCTAACTCTTGTTTGAGAAAATTTAATAAAAATTGATTTGCAATTATTTGAGAATAAAGCCTCATATAAGCAGTTTTCTAGATCATAAAGGAAAACTAAAATAAAAAATGAAGCAAGACAAAAAAACAAAAGGAAAAAAATGGCCTTTTCAAAAATAAGAAAGAAATATATTTTTTTTATATTAAAAAAATGACGAGAGTCTTGAAGGAATTGGTGATTACCATTAGAAATAACTCATACAGTACCTTCACATCTTTCTTCAACTACTCTCATGTCCCAAATCACTCAAAGAATTTTGCTCATCAGCCATAACTCTTTTACGAATGATGAACTTGAATTTGGGAACCTTATCTTCACTTGATCATATTCTGATGTAAAAGGGTGATAGTATTTTCCTGGGCAATGAACAATGACATAGTTAATTTGAAAAAATGATTTTTTTAGATTTTTAAAAAATCAAGCAAATTGGACATTTTTTTAGAATCTGAATGTGGCTGACTCGATATGTCAAGATTATAGTTTCAAATGTGCCAAAACCAGAATACACAAATTTCATCAAATGACCTCAAACACTTAGAGGCCAACTTCTCACCCTATGCTATTCCATGTCTGAAGGCAAATTGATCAAAAGAGTAAAATTACTCATTGCCCTTAAAACAACTTGATTTGTGCCACAATCACCTCTTTTATGGAATGATATGAATAATTTGATACCCTGAATGAGTTCATTAGGGATGAAATGTTAAAATGGGGCATCTTTCATGAATTTTCATAGTGGATTACTGTATGAATTATAGGGGCATATAAAATAAAAAAAAATGAAGAAAAAAGGAGAAAAAAAGAAAAAAAAAGATTGTGATAAAATCTAAAAAAAAAAAAGCCTAGACTTTTGATTGAAATCAGGAAAGAAAAAATAAAGAACTTAAAATGAAATAAAATTCAAGAAAGCCAAAAAATTTAAAAAAAAAATTTAAAGGAAAAAAAACATTTTTCTTAAACTCATCTTCCTAAGAAGGGAATTACTTTTCAATTTAAGTGTTAGTGTTTGAGATGACAAATAACCATATTTCATTATCCTTTCATAAATAAGAAAATTATCGACTTATTATCGTTTTGGCCCTAATGAATTCTTTCTAAATGAACTTTGACCAAGTATCACCTTTCACATTATGGGACAAAAGAAGGACATATTCAAGGATCACGTAAAGTGAGGTCCTATTTTAGGTATAAGGAAACAACGTTACATGTCAAGGGGTAAATGTCTAATAAAATGAGTTTTCAAAAAAATTTTGAACTCATAAAATCAGAAGTGGATGTTTACAAAGAAAAACAAAAAAAGGAAAAAAAGAAAGAAAAGGAATAAAATGATTGAATGGCAAGTATAGAGAATAAAAAGAGAAATGTCCTAAAGGGAATCCTGTATATGATGTGAAATGATTTTTGGTTTAATCACTCTTAAACACATTTGAGGCATATTTAACCCCTTCCTTTTGAACCCTTAACTTAGCCTACTTTATGTACTCTGAAAGTCTATTTTGATCAACAATGAATGCTTAAATTGAAAAGCTTTCCTTCGTGGAATCACCATATAACCTCTGAATCTTTTATCTTTTTTCACTGTCCAACTACTTGTTTGAACCATTAACCTATTTTAGATGCAACTTGGATTATTAAGTGCATGATGAAACATCAAGAAAAAATAAAACAAAGGAAGGAAGATTGTCGCTCTTGGGTAAAAACTTTAAAAAGAGTGGCCTAAAGTAAATTTGAAAATTATAAGGCAAATCATAGGCATAAGAAATAAGAAAATCTAGTATGAAGCAACCTAGACTTTTGAAAGATCTAAAAATGTCAATGCTTTGGAAGTTTGGAATCCATTAAGAGGATTAATTTAAAAAATTTGTGCCTTTTTCTTTCATTCTTAAATGACCTTTCCAAAATCTTGAGCTTATCACAGTTGAGCTTGACATTTATCAATATGCCATAATTGAAGGACAAAGAAGATGTTAAACATGTTTGGTTTTCAAATGATTCATGCTTTTTAAAAAAAATTATGTTT